TATTTATACTGTGCTTGATATAATACATTCACGGAAATGTAATATTTTTGCTGAAATGACGTACGTATTATAGTGGAAAGTGGGATAAAATCGTGACGAAAACAATGACTTTGAAATATAATGCAATATTAACCCCTAAATCGGTTAATCGGACAATCGGCTAAAGCGGACACTCTTCCCCCCTATTAGTCCGAATTAACGAGGGTCGACTGTATATGTATACAGTCATGCGCCGGTTAACGTCCTAGATACGTTCTTGGAAACGTGACGTTAACCAAAATGGACGTTGTCCGATCATCACAAAAACTTTGCATTTATACTTACGTGTATGTGGAATACTATACAGTCAACCCTTACTTTACGAGGTTAATTCAACCCACAGGGTACCGCGGAAGGTGAGAAACGTGTAAAGTGAACAACATAACATATGGGATTAATTGAAATAGAGACTGGGCCAACCCCAAAACTCCACTTTTTGACGACACACAACTATGTTGTAGTAAAAATTTTATCTTATCTTTATGATGGTATGCACACACAATTAATATAGAAGAGGTTAAGTTAGGAAAAATAAACGTTAGGTTAGGAAAACTAAAAGTTAGGTTTAACACTTACGTTCGTAGAAGAGATGGGTCGGCATACGGGTATGGAGGGTGGTTCTGAGGCAGAGGGAAGGCTACTGGCCCTCAGGTGAGTCACCATCACTGTCATCCACACTTGTCAGGGCCTCCCTGACAAATCCCTCAAAGTCATCATCACTGTCTCTACCTCTGTCACTATCACTGGCTTGGGCTGGCTGTAGTGGGTTGCGGGCGAAGAACTCTGTTATGCTTTGCTGACGGCTGGTGTTTATGTTGTCGTGATAAACCTTGAAGTAGGGCTCCATAGTCTGCAACAGCTGGGCAGTGAAGATTTCATACCTGTTTGCGTCAGGGTCGTCGGAAAGGAGGACCTTGACTTTCTCGATACACTCGATGGCACCCCTAACATTACTATGGGATAAGCGGTGTTCTTCTTGGGAGGACGCACCACCTGCCTCTTCACTGACGTCATCATCATCTACCATCTCGTCGGTAGTCACATGAGGATCCCTTATCGCCTCCAGGATGTCGTCGTTGGTGGTCTCGGAGAAGCCTGCAGCTGTAACACTCTGCGCAGCTTCTCTGGCAAGGTCCACTGCTACTGCAACAGTCTGATCCTCACCAGTCACAGATTGACTCTGCCTAACGGCCGGAATGCCTTGCAACACATGTCTCCATGCGTGACGAACAGTTGCTACAGACAGCTGATCCCATGCCTCCACCAAGAAGTCCACAGCTTTCTTGATGTTGAATATTCTCCAGAATTGTTTTAAAAGTACTTGTTGCTCTGCCAACTGTTGATCCTCGTCGTCTTCGCTCTTGCTATCGGTGGTGGTGTCACTCGGGTTACGCAACTCTTCCCTGGTGTTGATGTAATCGTTCAGGAGCTTGAATTTTTTCATAGAGAATGCAGCTTTTACATTACAGATTAACTCTTGGTCCATGGGCTGTAGTATAGACGTAGTGTTGGGAGGAAGGAAGACCACTTTTACGTTGGGATGACGATCTAACAGTAGGGGCGAGTGTCCTGGTGCATTGTCCAGCAGCAACAAAATCTTGAATGACACATTCTGTTGCTCACAGAATTTCTTCACATCAGGAACAAAACAGTCATCAAACCAGGAGAGGGACAGTGTAGAGAACATCCACGCCTTACGTGCGGTCAGCCAGTGGACATTTAGCTTGGTCATGTCCATGCTCTTGTAGGCGTGCGGCTTGCGTGCTGTGTGGATCACCGATAACTTGAGCTTACAGGTACCGGAGGCATTGGTGGTAAACAGGATGGTGATGCGCTCCTTCTGCATCTTCCGGCCCCGACACTTGCTGGCATTTTTCACAACGAAGGTCTTGGAAGGTAGCTTTTTCCAAAAAAGACCAGATTCGTCCATGTTAAACACCTGGTCGTCGGTGTACTGTCCTTCCTCCATAATCTCACGTAAAAACAAGGGAAATTCCCGAGCCGCAACACGGTCAGCACTGGCTTCTTCACCACCAATGTTTATATTGGTGATCTTGTTCCACATCTTAAACCTCTGTAACCACCCAGAGGAAGCATTAAAGGGTTTGGGCTCTGTAATTCCCATCTTTCGTGACACTGCAGCATACAGTTCACGTGCACACTCCTTAACAGAGCGCGTGTCCACCGCCATGTTCCGTCGCGCCTGACGCACCAAGTAGCTCACAAGTAATTTTTCCGTCTTGAGAAGCAACTGGTTGTGGAAATACTTGATCATAGAAGCACCTGTAGACTTTGTGATCTTCATGTGCTCCTTTATCTTGGCTGCATCCTTCTTTATCATCCGGATCGTAGATTCGTTCACACCATGCTGGCGCGCCAAAGCAACCTGTCTTGTTCCTTTCTCCAACTCTTGGATGATCTTGTACTTCACCTCGTAGCTTAAGGAACGTTGTGTCTTCTTTGGCTTAGGGCGGCTGGGTCCAGGCAAGGAAAGGTTTCTCTCTGGGGGCGGTGATCCGGCGGAAGCCATTTTACAGAACAATGGATGCACGATTACACGGTGTGGCCTAGAGGGATGAAACTGCCGCGGCTAGGTCAAGCGTCGTCTTTCCTCCCTCCCTCCCTCCCCCGGGTGGACACGTCATATTACTTTAAACCAATTACAGCTAACAGCTGAGGGAGGTAGGGATGCATGGCCAATCACAGTCTGATACGTCATATGACGTCACTGATAACGCAACAGAGACATGCACTACGCAACCTTACCACGTGGCTTGCCCAGGCGGAGGCAGGAGGGGCGAATCTAAAAATAGCGTCGAGCCGGACACTCTCCGCGTAAAGGGGTACATGCACCGCGGAATGTGAGCATCCCGGGTTCCGGCAGGGTACCGCATAAACGTGGAAACGCGGAATGTGGGACCGCGTAAAGTGAGGGTTGACTGTATGTATGTATGTATGTATGTATATATATATATATATATATATATATATATATATATATATATATATATATATATATATATATATATATATATATATATATATATATATATATATATATATACATACATACATACATACATACATATATACATACATACATACATACATACATACATATACATATATACATATATACATATATATATATATATATGTATATATATATATATATATATATATATATATATATATATATATATATATATATATATATATATATATATATATATATATATATATATATACATTAAAGTTATACCTACTTAACGCGGGTCAATTGAACCCAGAGGGTCCCGCTAAGTGAACTCTATAGAACAACAGAACATATGGGATTAATTCCAATAGAAACCGGCCCGACCCCCAAACTCCACTTTTTGAAGGCACATAACTATGTTGTAGTAAAAATAACATCTTAATTTTATGATGGTACATGCACACAATTAATACTTAAGAGAAATAGAGAAATACAGTCGCCAAGTTAATGTCCATTCAAATAATGGACTCAACTCCCTCCCCCTCTCACACTACACAGCCGGCTAACAGATGGTCGGTCGGTCCCTCCCTCCCCCCCCCACCCCCCACCAACCGTCCCAAGGAGATGTGTGGGATAACCTCAAACTAAAGTTAGGAAAATATAATTGACATTGCTGGATTCCTTGTAAGACCAGGAATATTTTGAATATAAATGTCATATATTTTGGACAAAAGATACCATAGTTACCTAGAGAAAAATTTTTATCTAAAAATTGTAAGTTTAAAGCAAAATATATGATGTTTATATTCAAAATGATCACCAAATTATAAGAATTCCAGCAATGTAAATTATATTCTGGCCTGGTAATTTGTATGAATTTTATGAGCTAAAACAGGCAGTCAGGCAGGGTGGCGGGTGGGGCAAATCTAAAAATAGCGTCTCGGACACTCACCGCGTATATGTGGAAAAAACCGCGTTAAGTGAAAGTTCAGCTTTGGCAAGGCACCGCGTATATGCGAAAACGCGTTAAGTGAAAGCGTTAAGCGGGGTAAAATTGTATGTATGTATATATATATATATATATATATATATATATATATATATATATATATATATATATATATATATATATATATATATATATATATATATATATATATATATATATATATATATTCAGTGAACTCTCACTTTACACGGTCAATTGAACCCACGGAGGCCCGCCCTGTAAAGTGAGAAAAGCGTAAAGTGAACAACATAACATATGGGATTAATTGAAATAGAGACCAGCTGACCCCCAAACTCCACTTTTTCCGACACAATACCTATGTTCTAGTAAAAATAACATCTTAATTTTATGATGGTACATGCACACAATTAATACTTAAGAGAAATAGAGAAATACAGTCGCCAAGCTAATGTCCATTCAAATAATGGACTCAACTCCCTCCCCCTCTTCTCACACTCACTGGCTCTTCCCTCTCTGAGAAATGTTTGGGGGAAAACACTAGATTTTAAGGTATAGTAATAAATAATACCTCAAACTAAAGTTAGGATAATATAATTGACATTGCTGGATTCCTTGCAAGACCAGGAATATTTTGAATATACACGTCATATATTTTGCACAAAAGATAACCTATTTGCTCTGAGTAAACAAAATACTTGCATTAGATCTAAAATTTGTATCTCTAATGCAAAATCTATGATGCTTATATTCAAAATAATCATCAAATTGTAAGAATTCCAGCAATGTAAATTATATTCTGGCCGGGTAATTTGTATGAATGTTATGAGCTAAATATAAAAATTATACTTCACCAGCGTATATGAGTAGATGCACCTGTAAAGTGGGAAGTGGTTCTGGCAGGGTACCACGTAAATGTAGAAACGCGTAAAAAAAAAAACCTTGTAAAGCGGGATATATATATATATATATATATATATAAAAGAGAGACAGAGATACAGTAGTGTATAAACTTACCCCAACTTTTCTTAAAAGGTCACCAACAATATTGAGGGCAGATATCCTAGCAGAAGGAGTCATAGGCACATTTCCATGATTCATGTTGTGCAGGGGATGTGCTGAAAACAAAGAAAATAGCAAATGAACATATTATGGCATCATTAAAATTGAGACCCTTTATCAGGAAGAGAGTGCTGAAGAATAAAAGAGAAGAGGAGGGATAAAACCTGTCTTGTCTGGCTGAGGGTTATGAAAATAACTGTTTCCCAGGTGGTGTACAAGGGGTAGGGAGGTGCCAAACTGGGCAGAGAGGGGTAAATATTGTTATCAAGACTGATGCATTCTATACTAAAGAGGCAATAGTTACTTCTGATCATATGATAGATTTTTCCCCATGGCTTCAGTATGGTGGTACAGTACTGTACCAAAACACTAACAAAACACAACATGACATAAATAAAATGCTGGCAATTTGCTTTAGTATGTCAACAAAGCCCTAACTACCCTTATATTGCCAATCATCAACAACCATTTAAAATGGCTCTTAACTGAGAGAAGCCACAAAAAATTATTATTTTTTTTTTTTTTTTTTTCGGTCATTAACACACTCAGGCACAGGTCATTTTTAATGACCTATGTCAAGGCCTTGGGGGCGAAAGTATAATAAAACAACAATAATAATAATAATAATAATGATAATAATAATAATAATAATAATAATAATAATAATAATAATAATAATAATAATAATAATAATAATAAAATTAATAAAAATAAATAACAATTATAATAAAATAAAATATTAATATTAATAAAAATTATAAATAATAATAATGAGCCATAAATAAATTTAGAAAAAATGAAAAAATATCAAGAGTGAGAAATACTGTATGTATATTGTGTTGTCAAAGGAAGAGAAACAATTGAGACCCTGAAATTAAGTGTAAATGAGGCAGAAAGTCAGATCAACAACCTGGGACTTGGTCACAATTTTCGTGATGCCATATGGCAGCAGGGTCTACCATTAGGCAACACATTATGCTTCCAATATCTTCCCAGGCGGTAGTACCTCCCTGTTTGATAGCTGCCTACTACCTACTACCTATTTTATGTACAGTATCCCAATTAATAGTTTATATTATAATATAACAATAATACAGTATCTACCATCTTGGATGACCAAGATGAAGAAACGATGGGATGAAGGCCAGACTAAAAGTGACAGGAATGAACACCCAGAAAGCAAGAAGCTGAATGGTGGTCTGGGGTGCAGCTGCTGTTCATGTTGTGTGAAGTCATCATCAATGCTTTACAGCCATTTTTGATGCTTGCATAAGTTAGCCATAATTACTTGATGGCAACTGTTGGGTAAAACCAGAATGGAACCCCCCACCAGCTGACCACCATAAACCCAGGGCACAGCTCTGGTGACCCGGCTACCATCAAATATGTTGAAGCAAACTTTTATGGCTAGACACCCTTCCTAATGCCAACTCACAGGGTGTGAAGTGGCAGAGATAAACCAGAGATGTATCTGACAGCCTTGTTGTGGTACAATAACACAATGGCAGAAAACATCGTTTACAGCAGTAAGAATGAATGATAAAAAATACAAGAAAAGTCTGCACTTGCAATTGATTTTGATAACCTTGTTCTGTATTGTAGCAAGGAAAGGCTTGACAATGAGATCTTTTTTTTAAGTAACATTATTGTTATTACTTTGTAAATAATAATTATTCTTACAATAACTGTTTTCATCTTCAATACTGTATACCGATGAAATTAATTAGTTTGCCTCAGTTTATGGGGGTAGTAACAAACTTGTATCTTACAAGAGATGCTACAAATTCTTTTCTGGTCACATTCACACTCCATTATTTGGCACTTCCTCACACTTCATCACTACTTGTAGTGCAGTGGCTTAAGTTCAAATTCAAGAGATATTGTGACACACTGGCCCAAACTGCCAAATTTGCATGCTTATATTATAGTACTACACAGAACTTTTGAGAGAGGCTGCCCACATTTTGAGGTCAAGGTCAAAGGTCAAATTATAGTTGTGTCATATGTCTAACTTAGAAACACGATACTGCTATTCAAACCAACATTCTTAGGGTCAAGGAATCTATTTCAGTTGTGAAAAATATCCTCAGGTGACAGCCATAGTGACTCTGGCAGGACTGTTTCATAATGTTTTGCAGCAGCATCCAGGTGTGGGGTGGCTTTGGGAAAGGCAAACTCTTCCACTATTGTCATGTTCATTCAATATGTCTAAAACTTGGGGAGAACAAAGTTTGTGCTTTGTTGTTTATCCTGCTGATGCAACATCCCAGTTCAGTGATTAACACAAAAAGTCCACCTGGAAGACAGAGGGACTATCATCATGTCCCTAATTGCATTCGTTCCACAGAAAATTATTTCTCCAACATTCAAAATCATTGAGCGGTTTACCTGTATCATGTACTTGTTAGACAACACAATCTCATGTCAAGTTGAATGACCTTCCACTGGAGCGGTTCCCAAGAGGAATGAAGATGGAAAACCTTCCTCCAAACTAGAACATACAGCTTTAACATGTAAAAAGCCAGTGTGTGGGGAGTAAGAAACCCATCATAGTTGCACCAACTCCTGAAGGTTTGAGTGGACCAAAGCAGACACCTGGTGACATCCAATCTGGACAACCTTACCAGCTGCTGCTGTCAGCTGCAAGGTACTAATCAAGTGTGGCTGCAAAGTGATACCCAATTGTTCAATGAATTACAAGAGCAGGAATGAAGGGCTTTGTCATTGGAATATGGGGTATTGATTAATAATAATTGCTTAGTTTCAAGAAAAAATACATTCAATCACTAGCTGTGCGTGTGTGTGTTTTAGAAAGGTATTCATCATATATTGAAAATTGCATTTAAACTTGTATTAAGCCATTAATTCTAAATTATATGTACATAACCCAGAAAAATTTGCTTGTTTTGCATAGTGGATTTAGGTAAATAAATTAATTATCTAATAATAGGGATAGTAAAAAAAATATATATTTTAAACCCCTGGTTATAACTTAAATTGGGCACACACACTCAAAATGTTATATATGGTCCTAAATACAATTGTACCAAATTTCGTGCTTTGGGGCGCCATGTTATTATTAGAGTCAGTTGTTCCCCACACAGTGTATGGGCATCCCATAACCCATTCTACCATTGATCTTTAACACTGATATTTAAAACTGGGCAGCCACTGCTCATAAAGGTTTGGATGGCACTACAGCATTACTGTGCCAAATTTGGTGCTTTGGGCCATGTTATGATTCTATCCCTAAACCACTCCACTATTGGTGACCTATCATACATCCTCATACTCCACCATTACTTGATGACCTCTCATACATCCTCACATTTCACCACTACTTGATGACCTCTCATACATTCTCACACTTCACCACTACTTGATGACCTCTCATACATCCTCACACTTCACCACTACTTGATGACCTCTCGACATTTTAACTCTTTCAGTTCTTTAATACATCTTTCTACTTTAAACAAATACACTGCTCAATTTTGCTACTTATTATTTCTCAATGCAAGAAGTACCTGTATCAATAATTTTAGCTTAAATTCAGTGATAGCTGAATCAAGATCAAGATTTTTACTGTAGTTTGTGGAAGATCCTTCACCTTCAACTCATCTTTGTAAAATCATTCATGACATAAAGAGAGAAACTATCAATAATAAGTGTCAATATACTGTAATCAATATATCATCGAGTTCAATCAGTAGTACCGTACTAAGAGACAGTGAAGCTTACATATTACAGGTGTAGTTGGCACAGACTCTGAGAGCTGTGTGTTAGACATAAGCTTATTGGAATCTATGTTTTCCTCAGGAGCTGTTGATGGTTCTTGCTTTTGAGGAGGCTGAAGATGTAACTTTTGGTGATGTTGCTGCAGGGCTTTATCATTGTCTGGCCCGGGTTCATCCTTTTCCTTTACACTCAGCTCTTGTCGAAGATCTAAATGTGAAAAAGCAATTAGGTTTGATGATGTGAATAAAACAGGAAGAGAAAAAATTAGTTTTACACACACACACACACACACAGAGTAATATCTCCATTAGCCGGAACCTACTCAACGTACGACCACCCGGACATACGACGGCGCCAGCCGTACCCAAAAATTTTCAAATTAAGTATTTTCGAGTCCCGACGTCAGTGATTACGCTGTGTACTGACAAAATTTTCGTTTATAATTCCCTTTAAAATGGCTGACATGCTCAAAAGTGAGAGTATTCTGGTGCTGAGAAGAAAAAGAGACACCCATATTAGATTTTCTATGTATTTTCTTCGCATTTTTTACTTATGAACAATTCGACTTACGACCTGGATTTGGGTCCCTAACCCCGTCGTAAGTCGAGAAGCCGCTGTATATATATATATATATATATATATATATATATATATATATATATATATATATATATATATATATATATATATATATATATATATATATATATATATATATATATATATATATATATATATATATATATATATATATATATATATATATATATATATATATATATTACAGTGGGGTATGCTATAACGAACGGATCCTACTACGAATATTCCTATAACGAACGGTTTTACCTATAAAATTGAGAATGCTATAACGAACGAAACTCCTACATCGAACGTTATTTAATTTTTTATTTTTTTTTTTCTAATTTATTGTTTTTTTATTACAAATATTAATGATATTCTTTATTTCAGGGGTTTAGATGCATATTTATGCACTTTCTTACAATTTTTACAATTTTATATTATATTTTTCAGTGTTAAGTGGTTGTATTTGGGGGCCTGGAACGGATTAATCCTATAACGAACGAATGCTATAACAAACAAGGTTCTAGAACCAATTAGATTCGTTATAGCATACCCTACTGTGTGTATATATATACAGTGTCAGGACAGGCCAGGAATCCAATGCTCTGTTTGTTCATTTGAGGGATAACAAGCATTGCATTGACTGGGATAATGCCTCCTCAATATTACCATGTAATTCAATTGATAGTAGGAACATCATAGAATCTAGTCTTATCAAACATACGAAGCATTCAACATGAATTTGAGTAACGGCTTGTACAAGCTGGACAACTTGTAATTAAGAAGATTTGTGATCAGGTGAGAAGGCGGGTCCTTGACCATCTGACCTGACCACCAACGTTGTGTGCTATTTAAAGATTAGTAGGGTCATTACCTAATACCTGACCATTGTGGACCTGGTCTCACCCTCCTCTGTATATATACACCTTGATTTGTATTACTCTCTCTAGTCTGTACTCACCCTTGAAGATGTGAATTACGAAAGCGCTTAGAACTTCGTGTGTTTTCTTCTTCCTTGTGGTTATCAGCATATACCTGAATCACGCACTACAGTGATTTACTTATATATATATATATATATATATATATATATATATATATATATATATATATATATATATATATATATATATATATATATATATATATATATATATATATATATATATATATATATATATATATATATATATATATATATATATATATATATATATATATATATATATATATATATATATATATATATATACGTGACCTCTTATTGAACTCAATCCGTTCCAGAAGGTCGTTAGATTAACCCGAAAAAGATTAAACTGAAACCATTGTTTCAATGGGTTTTTGGTAGTGGTTCAGCTCACCGAATATTTCCTAAATTCAACAAAAATGGTGAAAAAGTTCACTTAATTTGAGGTATGTATGTAGAAGGCTCTGGATGATGATGATGATGGAATTAGAATGGGGTGGAGGAGAAGGGGAAGAAGGCATTGGGGTGGAAGAAGTCACCCCATGGCACCATTTCATCCATAAAATTTTAGTCTCTTGGTGTATTTCAAGATTATTTTCTTTTATATCAACTATGGCACTGCATTATATATTGTCAATATGTAAAATACATTTCAAATGACCAATAATTTGCTTGGAAACACAGAAAAAAAGCATTTAGTTGAAGAGAGTCCAAGCAAGATGATACCTCCAGTAAAACAGAGAGAGAACTAAGCCTGTTTGCTGTGTTAGAGCTGGATGCGCATTAAACTTGTCACTTTAGCTAATTATGTTCAATAATTGTTAAATAACTAAAATTGAATATTAAACTTTTAAAATTACTGAATAGTATAAACTTCTTGATATTTACTAAAATAGTAAGAATTTAAGCCCTAGAACCGATTAATGTATTGGCGGACTGATACTAAAGCTGGTTGCCGGTCACTGCAAGCGAAACATGTTGAGGTGGTTCGTAGAAACCGTTAACTAAATTTTTTCGTTAACCGAATTGAAGATCCTATGGAAGGCAGTTCGTTAATCAATTACGTTAACGAGTGTTAGTTAGTCTGTATATATATATATATATATATATATATATATATATATATATATATATATATATATATATATATATATATATATATATATATATATATATATATATATATATATATATATATATATATATATATATATATATATATATATATATATATATATATATATATATATATATATATATATATATATATATATATATATATATATATATATATATATATATATATATATATATATATATATATATATATATATATATATATATATATATATATATATATATATATATATATATATATATGTGCAGGTGAGTATATGCTGATAACCAGAGAACATATTCTAAACTCATAAATAATCCCTCAACACTGTCAACACAGTTCAACAAAATACTGAAGTCTATTAAGAGCAAAGCTACTCTCATTAAACATCTTACTTCAGCGTCCCTCAACTGCCATACATATGCAGTGTAATCAAGACCCACAAGCCCAATAACCCAGCAAGACCCATTATTAGCTCAGTTGGGTCAATCCCTTATAAACTATCTAAATGGTTAGTTTCTTTACTAAATCTAGTTG